GATTTAATTGGAATTTTGCATTTTAATTGATATTAAAATGATTATGTTTGATGCATATTTTTGTAGAATTTTGTTTGATCTCATGGTGATGATTTTAAGCCTAATTTTTTGTGTGTGATTAGGTTAGACATGTATGATCCCATAGAATTTTTCTCACATTTTTTTGATGAAAATAGGTGTGCTTTCTAGATTGATGTCTAGGTGCTTCCTTTTAGGGTTTTAGGATTGATGCCTTAGAATGTAGAATTTATTTCTAGGTCTTACTTGATGTTTTGATCTTTGAAACTAATATGGTAGAGTCATGATTGACCTAGGTTCCCATAGTAATTTTTGTAGGATTTTACAATTGATTTTAGTATTTTTAGTTAGGACTAACTTTAGTACTAGGTTTTAGGTGATCCTAATTTACTAATTCAACTAGTTTAACTTCCCTAGTTCCCTTAGATTAGGGTTTGTGCTTGGTTTGCCTTTGGTTGAGATTGAAGACAAGTTGAAGACAAGAAGGATGCTTGAAGTTGCTTGGAGCTTTGGATTTGTTTGTGCCTGAAGGTATCTGATGAAGATTAGGAGATAGGACATAGGGAGAGCCTTGTAGTTAGAATGATTTCTTTCTCAAATATGGAAAGCATCTTGTGCTTCCATTCCTCCCAATGACTAAAAGTCCTTCTCAGATATTCACATCCCTCCTTTGGAGAGATGAGTGACTTTATCTGGGAAGTAGAACTTTGAGGGAACCAGTCTCTCATAATGATGGACCCTTATAGGCTTCCTTCGGTTGTCAGTAAGCTGTTTATCATTTCCTTTCACTCTGTTAAATCAATCATCTTCTGGTTTGAGTATCTTGAAAGATGTTGGGCTTGAGTTTGAAGATGAGGACTTCATTGAAGAGTGTGAAAAAGGATGATTCCTTGAGCATTGCCATTGCAGCTGAAGCTTGAAGAGCAAGAAGAGCAAGTTGATACTTGAAGATCCAATAAAGACTGAATGAAGAGCTGAGGCTTAAAGAATTGAAGGTTGAAGTTGACACTTCCAGATGAGTGAAGATTACTCTAAGAAGCTGAAGATTGTAGGAGAAGAAGATCAAGTTGATACTGGTAAAGGAAAGAGAGCTGAAGCTTGAAGACTGAGTTGATACTTATGAAGAGGATTCAATTGAGATTGAGTGCAAAGCTGAAGATTGAAGAAGAAGATTAAGTTGAAACTTATGTTGAAGGGTTGAAACCTGGAGAAGCAAATTGATATTTGTCATGAGAGATGATAGCCTTGAAGGGTAATTGAAGTCTGAAGACTGGATTGATGTCTGAAGACTAGATTGCTGTTAGAGGAGCTGAAGCTTGGAATTGAAAGAGGGAGTGGTTGATCTGCTTTCTTGTCTGTTTTCTTTCCTGTGCTGATGTGCCTTGTTTGACTTGCTTGATGAATTAGACTAAGTCCATGACTAGACTGACTTTAATCTAGGAGCATGATTGCACTAGAGGTTGAGTTGCTCCCTCTGCTTGTATTGTTACTGTATGGCTTTGCTTGCGGGTATTCGGTAGAGCCCAGCTCCCTTGCCCATGTGGTTTATTTTGCTTGATAGCATGATTTTATTTCCTCTGTATGATTGTAGTTTACTGTATTTTGCTTGATAGCATGTTGTTATTTCCTCAGTATGATTACTGTTACTCATTCTGGCTTGAGGTTGAGATGAGCTTGTGGAGGCTGCTGCCCCACGCACCTTTCCTCCCTCACTTGCATTGCATGCATTTTACAGTCGTTATCTGTTTACTATTTAAGCTGATGCTTTATCTGTTTCTGTGTATCATTGACATGATCCCATAGGACTCTCATTTCCTTTGATAGGGAAACGATGATAAAACTTTAGGTCGAAACCTATGCATGATAACTTCTAGGAGTTCCCTGTTTCAAACTTCAACTATAGGATGAATCCTTGGCATGACAACATTAGGACTTGATAGTTTCCCTTTAGTTGAGCCTGTTCTCTTCTCATCTCAAAAACAGCTTAAGATACAGTAATCATGAATAATTTCTTTCGTACGTTATGAGCCTTAAGCTATCTGAGAAAGGATTGTTGGAGAGCTTCTTTCCAACAGTCTGGATGTTTAGTATGGCACCCTTTGGGTGACATGCGACGCATTCACTCTTAGGTCATAGTCTCTAGTGCAATTGAAATTGCAAACACAATAAAAAACACTTCTTCCGTAAAAGACAGAAAACAAACTTCAAACCTTTTGCCCCGTGGGCCCATAATTCAAAGGAAAGCTTTTCTGAAGAAAAGAGTGTCGTTAAACTTCAGCGCCACCGCAAACAGGCTTTGTCCCTAACTGCTGGAACTGCTGTTTAACCCTACTCGATAAAACAGATGAATCTGAATTCCCGTAATCCGTAGTATCCCGAACTACGTAAGCTCTGATCTCACATACCTGTTGAGAGTACGTAGGCACAATACTGATGTATTGGCGAGCCACCTTCCCCGTAACCCGTAGTAAGTCGAACTACATTGACTCTGATTTCTCATTCTCTGATGAGAATACGTAGGCATAAAGGGCGATGCTTTACCGAGTCATTTTTCTTTTCTGTTTAAGCCATCCTTGATAGGTAGATAGATAAACCAACTCGTCCAGTAAACACAACAAGCGTGGATCCCGTCGAGTACGACGGACGTGAGGGGTGCTAATACCTTCCCCTTGCGTAACTGACTCCCGAACCCAGACAACGGTTGCGACGACCTTGTCTTACCTATTCGTCAGGTTTTTCCGATCGTTTCCTTTCCCGTTCCGAGGGATAAATAACGAAAGGTGGCGACTCTTCTGTTTTGCCGGCACCTTATTTTCACGGAAGCGACAGTTACTACAGAAGATTCTGAAAGTACTAGAGCTGCCAGTACTGAAGATCTGACTCAAATATGCTATGAACCTACACACGCTAAAAGCACACCAAGCTGCAAAGACTCTGATTCAGCAAAACTCTGATCAACATCAGAAGGCTCTGATCAATTTAGACTCTGATGATTCTTGCTGAAAAATTGATGAAGAAGAATTCAAAGATTATGTCCGTTGGAATAATCCAAACGACTCTTTTCTTATTTATGCTAGACACAAGAACACAAACAAAAAGGACTTCTCTGTGCTTTCTTATTCTAGGAAAGATCACTTGATGTGAAGACAAAAAGACTCAGACCTTTTAGGACACTCTTCTCAACGTGAAGTTCTCTTGGATCTAGCTGCCTATAAAAGCAAGTCTTCACCCATCTTCTTCAGTTGACGTTTTATCCAAAAGAAATCAATATCCAAAGCTCTCATACATTTCATATTCTTTCTAGAATTAATTTCTTTGTTCTTAACTTTAAGTGAAAAATCACAGTTATGATAAAGCTTTATTAGAAGCAATTTAAACACTTGTATTTGTTATTACATTTGATTGTAAGAAAACTTTAAGAAGATCCAGTTAGGATCAATAGTTCTTGAGAAGACTTTGAACAGTTGTTCTTAGTGTTTACTATTGTGATCAGTTGATTAAATAGTGGATTAAGTTCTTGTTTGAGAAAGGCAAATCACTCTAGGAAGGGTGGACTGGAGTAGTTGAGTTCAACGAACCAGGATAAAAATACTTGAGTTTTTATTTCTAAGTTTTTATCTTCATACTTATTCAACCCCCCTTCTAAGTATTTTCTCACCTTCAATATGCGCCCTTTTGAGATGATTTTATTGCGTTCAATATTTTACTCTGATAAATATGATTGATTTGTCATTATATTTGTGGGGTAGAAAAGGGTGTTACAAGTCTAATCCTCATGAAAGGGTGTCTGTGTTTTGTTTTTATGTGATGAAGATGCACAACATATGTTTCTTGATTGTATCAAATCCAAGATGGTTTGAGGTACAATTTGCCGTTGCTTTGAAGTCGATGGGATAATTGCTTCGTCGTGTTGTGATCACTTACAAGTGTGGATTCAAATGAATATATCGAAGATTTCAATTATTAATGCGGTCAAAATTTGGTACGATATGTTGAAGCATATGGTATGAGAGAAATCAGATTCTATTCAACGATAAAATTGGAGATACTGAAGCAATAACACAAAGATGTCTGCTTAATTCTTGGTGGTGGTTAGAAAGATTGAGAATCAATCAAAGGAATTGTTCTTACTATAAGTGGTGTAATTTTCCTTGATTTTTTCTCTAATTTTTAGATTTATTTATTTATTTATTTTTACATTTTTAAGTTCTAGAGACGTAAAAAATAACCTGTATTGAAGATTGTATTGAGGTTGGGGTCCCCTATTCCCCTTATGTTTATAATACACATTTCTACTTATAAAAAAAAACTCACCGTTAAAATAAAAATAAATTAGATCAACTAAAAATTCTTTTAATCTTAAAAAACACTTGGATCCCAAAAAAAAAAGTAACTTTATTAAACCTATTTAGTTTGTTACAGTTCACCCATTAAAGATACGATAACCAAAGACTTCCATCATTAATTAATATCTACATAGTAAAGAGTCAGCCGTACCAACGAAGCAGTTAACATTTGGCATTAAATTTAAGTTTTAAATTTTAATAAAAGCAGTTCTATATTTAGCACTAAAACCGTAAATACATATTTACGGTCTTCTTGAGGTCAATTTAATATGGGTAAGAGCTGCAATTCACCGACCGACTGTTTCTAACCTTATACAATATCAAATTTTTTAATCAAAGCGTATAAAGATTCAAGAATTATGTTCAATTTATTTCAAATATTAATTTTGATTAAATATATTTTATACAAACTCAAATTCTGGAATTTTTAAGACATAAATCCAATAAAACATCACGCGTATGAAGCTTTGAAATAAAAAAATATCCGTATGAATGTTTAATTAGACAACATTAATATTTTTACAAATATAAACTAAAATATACAAATATAACTCCTCTATCAGAGCTCCTCATATACAAATATAAACTAAAAATATGTGTTTTCTAAACTTTAAAAACAACAGATAACAGAACTCTTCAAATGATAGGTTGTTTTATGATTCTCTGTAGCACAACAGTCCTTGCCCTCCTAATGTCTTGGCTACAAACATCAGCTTCAACTCCTAAATCTTCAACATTCTTCAACAGCACACCAACCTTCTTCTTTATCTCCTCCATTGCAACCTTCACAGCCTCTTCTTCAATTGCAAAATCAACATTATGCAGCAAAGATTCAATCTCACTTTCTAGCCGATCGATAAGTTCGCTAATACTGTCCAAATCTTTAATAGCTACATGTGTAACAGCTTGCATTGAATCAATAACTTCTTTTTGTCCTTTCACTCCAGTTTCATACTTTCCCCATAGTGAATCAATCCATTTTCCCATCGAACCGATAGGGACCGCTGCAGCGGATGCTAACGCCGCAGCAACAGGTGGAGCTGCAATAGCTGCTGCCACAACAGAACATACCAAAACAGCTGCTAATGCAGCCACAAATACCATACTCGAAACTTTCTTCCATGAATGTATAAATTTCAGTTTATTATCCAGCTTGTTCTTTCTTCCTTGAAGTTTCTCAACCATTGTTATCTCTCGCCTATACACAGATCGAAACTTTTTGAAGAATTCCTCGGTGAAAGGATCACCGGTCGCTTTAAAATTCTTCAATTCTTGTAATGTCCTCGCATAACATTTACCTCCAGATTCAAACTCTTCCTCGAACCGTTGAATCGCTACAAGAATAAGCAATTGGTTATCCCTAGCTCTTTTCAAACACTTTTCCAATGCAGTGCAGAAATCCAATGTTTGTAAACTGTTTTCAAAATACTCTTCCACTAAATCAAACAGTTCTTGACATTTGCATATGTCTTTCTTGCACTCCAAGATTACTCTGACAACTTCCTTATTCATCTCTAGAAGACTTTCTATAATTTGTTTTAGCGAATCGAATGAAAGAGCTCGAACTTCGACGCCACCAGAAGATAGCGTCGTTGTGAAATGACCCGTAGACGATGTTTTTGGAATCTTTTTACTCACATGACTTCCCATTGTAGTAACTTCAAGTAACAAAAAAAGAAAAGAAAAATACGATAAGAATATATATGAAAACAAACAAGTGAAGTTAAAGAGACCGGATAATGAATCAAAGTTGTTGTTGTAAAATGTATCAAGAAATAGAAAACGGATAATGAATGAAAGTTGTTTTCTCTCTCTTTAAATAAAGCTTTATGAGTCTAAGTGGATAGGAACGAAAGATTTATGACATTAATTGCTCTATTGTTTTAAGATTCTGAGTTTTAGTTTTTAAGATTCTGAAATTTTTTCTATGCACTTAGGCATATGTCAGCATTTTTAAATCTACACTAAATCAAATCTACACTAGATCAAATCTTTAATGACAAATATTAATTTAATGTTTATTTTGTAAACTCCAACGGTATTTTTGTAGTAATTATTTTTAAAAAAATCATGTATAAAATTACCGTTAATGTATTTTATAAATAAATAATATAAATAATATTTTATAATTTAATATTAAATTTAAAAAAATAAAGTGAAAAAATGATAAATAATTATATTTTCATGTAGTCATTTTTTGCAACTGGATGTCAATGCATAACTATAAATTAAAATGACTTAATTTCATGGAAATGAAACTTCCGAACGTATAATACCTTGATGTGATTCAGAATCACAATTATATAGGAGCATCGGTCAAAACTGTCTTTGATGAATGTGACCTCCGGTACATGGTCCAGTTGCATAAACCCAACGATTGAGATATAGCGTTGTCTGGCTCCAATGCATAGCTACTCCTAGGGGCGCACATGTTCGTCAGCTTGAGTGGGCATGAAATTGGATTGAGTTTCCAACTTGAGTCATTCTTATTAGGTTGTTTGGCCAGTCTAGAGCAATTTCCCCTAAGTATTTGCCATCAAACATGAAGTTAGGATTTGCTATAGAAACTTTATGACCGGCCTCAACGAGTTCTGTTCTAGAGATGTCTTCTTTGTTGAAAAGTTAATTGAGAAAAGGAAAAGTCCATTAAGGAGTTAATAGCCTTGGAACACACACATTAAATGATACTTATTGTAATACCCCGTGTCAAATGGTCTATAATATTAACTTGAGGTATTATCATATTTGGTACTAGTACATCAAAATAGTACAAAGATACATCAAAGTATCTCAAATACAATAAAGTATCAATACATTAAAACAAAGTACAAAGCAAAATGATAAATAACTAATAAGTACTAAACATCCACTTCAAGTAATCTTTTGGTTCTCTTTGCTTGACACATAATTATTTGTTAGAAAAGAATGATATGAGATAAACAAATCCCAATAAAGTTCTTACTACCACCATAAATTCTCTTTGTGGCCAACTAAATCACTTATAATCTACTACCGCTACTAATAAAAGAATAAAAAGTACCAGAGATACTCAAGATCCCCTATAAATAATTCGCGATATAATTAATACCATACACTATAGAGATATAACATGTTATCCCATACGCATATATGAACTCATAAATCATAACTGCGACAATTCCTCACAATCCAAGTCTAGTTTATATCATCAACATCCTACTACAATATTGTGAGACTCCAGCGTTGCTTCCAGGTCATACAACTGGTATATGTAGTGAAACATGTCACTCACTACATGTATTCAGTTAGTTATACTGTCTTTTTTATAGGACAAAAGCTTTACCCGCATAGGAGTTATACATGTGCCGCTAAGGTATTAACCTGAATCAGTGTTCCTTTCTTAGGTTTCTAACGATAACACTACTAGAAGGCTTAGAGTTTTCACCCCTTATATCATAGGTGGGGCTTTGATGCTTGGAAATGTGAAGTTTTTGGCGCACAATAGAAGGAATTATTGGTGCCCTATAATTTGACGTTACGACCGTAATTCCTTTAGAGATCCCCACCACACGAGGCATAGATAATCACGGGCTACCCGTAATCTAGGATTACAATCGTAATTCTTCTAGGTGTGAGTTTCTTGTACTTTTTTGTCCTTCATTTCCTGTAAAATAGTCAAAACAAAACCATTTTTCCTTTCCAATCATGGTATTTAACATCAATCTTAGACATTTTAATAATACTTGGAGGAGATTGACATAAATCACATATGGCGAGGGCGTAGACTCTAAAGCGATTGACATGAATTACCTTATTGTGGATGCATTGTCTCAAAACAACATCATCCTAGGGCAATCTGCCCTCAACACGCTGAAGGCAGTTGTCTCCACTCTGTACCTAGGACTAAAATATCTACTTCCTAGAGGGCGAGCGGGTATAATTTGAGGAGATTAATAGGTCATCAAGGAGTGCTATCAGAATAGCCTAGTGAAAGATAATGAAGAGCCCGTCTAGGTTGATACCACCCCTCATTTATAATTTCTAAATATTTACTTCGAGTGTTGAGAATCCAGATTGGTCGCAGAAGCAGAGAGGCTCACGTCCAAAGAAGATTTGAAAGAGGTTCATATAAGTCCTCACGCCCAACAGGTAACGAAGATAGACACTTCGTTGTTTGCAACAGAGGAACAAGAACTAGTCAACCAACTCATTAAAAATGTTGACGTGTTCTCTTGGGCTCCTTCTGACATGCTAGGAAATGATGTAACGCCCTGATTTCGATTAGTCCCATTTTGTTGAGTCTTTTATTTAAATTGAGTGATAATTATTTTATTTGTGAAATTGGTTTGTTAATATGATATGTTGACATGTTATGATATTTTACCGTTTTTGAGAGTTTTCGGGATAATTAGAATGGATGGTATTTTAGTCATTTCTCATTTAATGATAAGTTAGAAATTTAGTGGAAATAGAATTATGTGAGAAAATGAATTAATTAAATTTGTGTAAAAAAAAAGAGATAAGAAGAAGAAATAGGAGAGAAATAGAAAGAAAAGAGAAATAGAGAGAAAAAGGAGAGAAAGAAAGAGGAAGAAGAGAAAAGAGAAGAAAAAGAGGAAAAACATGGAAATCTTCAAAACAACTTCTAGGAATCGATTTAATCGGGTAAGGGTGTAAAATATTGTTATCTTATCATTGTGTATGATTATGTATGGTTTTGTTTGGATTGTTTTAGTTGTTTTTTTTTCACATATTTCTATTTTAGATCGAATTGGTAAAATCGATAGAAACCGGTGTTTTCACGGTTAGAATTCAAAATAAATTGCGTAGTTTAGTCGAGGAATGTTAGGCTATGACTATTGAAACTTGTTTGATTAAATTCGGGTGATTTCGTAACTTTTGACATTTTTGGATAATTGAGGGTTTGAGATTAGAGTGGAAATCGAACGTCGTAGAAATCGTGTTTAAACTACTCACTGCTATATGTTAGGTGTAACAGCCCAATTTTCAATAATTAATTATTTGTGTTAATTAATTGAGTTATTTGGATTATTCTAATTATTTGAATAATTAGATGATTGTTTAAATGGATTTATAGATGTTTGAGAGAGGGAATATATCGGATAGAAATAAAGGGAAAGATATATATATGAGGAAGTGGAAAAGAAAAGAAAGAGGGAAGAGAAAAGAAAGGGAAAGAAAGAGAAAGAAGAGAAAAGGAGGAGAAAAAGAGGAAAATTGGAGAATCATCAAGAACATCCTCTAGCTTTCGATTAATCGAGGTAAGGATGTGAAATCTTACTATCTTAATCATTGTGTATGTGTGTTGGATTGTTTGGGTGTTTTTTTTGGATATTTTCCATTTTAGGTCGAAATGAGTTTAATCGATAGAAACTGAGTTTTACCGGTTAGAATTTGGAATAGACGGTGTAGTATAGTCGAGTGATGAGTGGGTTGTGCTACTGGGGCTGATTTGGATTAAATCGGTTGGTTTTGTGAGGTTTGGGCTTTTGGACAGCCATGGAAGTTCTGATCTCGCAGGTTCGCCAGGCGAAGCCCAGCGAATGATAGCGAATCAAGTCAGAACCAAACACCCTGTCTTCGTTGGCAAGTTCGCCAGGAGAATGAGAGTGGCGAAGGTTCGCCAGGCGAGTGTGCTAGCGAGCGCTAGCGAGTAATTCCAGAATAGCTCACAGTGGTCTTCGCTGGCAAGTTCGCCAGGCGAACGTTGCAGCGAAGGTTCGCCAATGGCTTCGCCAGGCGAAGGTTGGCGAATGGGACAACATTTGTTTTATTTTGATTGTTTCCATCCAATGTTGATGTCTTTGGTTTTAGCATGTAGCGAATAGCTTGTGTACGTTGTGTTGTGGGTAGCCGTATGGCGTGAATCCTAGATTATGAATTGATTGTGAATATGTGGCCTTTTGGCATATGTGATGCATTGTTTAAATTAATTAAAAATGCATTATTGGGTGGGATTGAGTTTGTTGTCGTTTGGCACGATAATTGTGAGTTATGAATGTGAATCTAGTATGAAACAATATGAGATGAATGACGAATATAGGGTAAATATATTTGCGAGTGTATATTGAACGTACGTGTTGATGCGTGACGAATGATGAATGCTATATACATTGTGAAGGTATGATTACCGTATGTGATATGTAATGAATGCATGAGTATGTTTGCAAACATGTATGCATGTTGTATCGGTTGATCCCGCAGAGGATCTGCAGAGACATCGTGTGCCCTTGTGGGGTGTGAGCAATGGTCTATAATTGATTAGGTCATTTTGCATGTGAAGCATCATAATTGCATACTTGTGTGTCTGATTCCTCGGAGGATTTGCAGAACCTCGTATGTTGCGATGGTTATTTATTGATCCCTCGGAGGATTTGCAGAACCTCGTATGTTGTGATGGTTATATTTATTCCTCGGAGAATCTGCAGAACCTCGTGTACCCTTGTGGGGTGTGAGCGATGGTTATTTATTGATCCCTCGGAGGATTTGCAGAACCTCGTATGTTGCGATGGTTATATTGATTCCTCGGAGAATCTGCAGAACCTCGTGTGCCCTTGTGGGGTGTGAGCGATGGTTATTTATTGATCCCTCGGAGGATTTGCAGAACCTCGTATGTTGCGGTGGTTATATTGATTCCTCGGAGAATCTAC